ATATTGAATGTATTATTTTCCTTGATAATATCCATGTGAAGTAAGGACACATAAGTCTAATTGTAGGTTCTCTTACCAATTGGGAGACAGGGGGATGAAGAGGATAAGTGATGACCTAGGTAGTAACAGAACCAAAATCTAACTCTGCTGTATTCAGGGAACTGTTTCATCTCCTGTGATTTCTTTAACCAACACAAAGCATGGAGCTAAAAAATAATCATGATGAATCCAATGTGCGGTGTCACAAACCAAAGGGCTTATGATCAATTATTCTCAACTATTTTGTTGAAAGAAATGTACACGAATAATCCTAAAGCAGAAGGGATATATGAAACTCACTAAAAATAAAACTAAAGAACATATAAAACCAGTGTCTTCAGTTTTCATCTCTAATTAATTGGCAGGATAAATGATCCTGTCTTGAGTAGGAGCCTCAAACTACTGAGCCTTGCAAACTAGGTCCCTTGGTGCTCCTCTAGGCTTCATTTGCATGACATACCACACTGAGGACTAGTTGCTATTTGGAGTATAAAATCATTAACTGGTTGTGCATCTGTTATCTGTGCAGGTGGGAGAGAATTCTACATACCTGTGTTCACCCACTACAAGAAGGACTTCTTCCGATGAAGTGATCTGATTCCTACCTATGTAAGTAGCTTAGAAACGGTTGAATTCAATTTATTAGAACTTGTTTAAAATTTCACAGGCTAGTGTTAAGATAGATAAAATACTTTTTCATGTCAGAGAGTTCTTTAGGGTTTATAAACAATGTGTGCTCTCTTTAGAAATTGTGCAGCATGCACAACTGAAATCAGGTCATTCTCTGTGCTTTTAATTATTTGTATTTTGAATTATTTTCTTGGGAACAGTTGACATGTAATGAAAAAGCTTAAGCTATTGATTTTACTGTCAATTTATTTAATTTTTGAAGGGAGGAGCCAGAAGTTATTCCTTCCCCAAGTAAGGATTTGTTACAAAGAATGAATTCTTCCCTTGGTTCAGACTCATAACTTGAAATCTCACTTTACATTTGACAACAGGTGAACTTATCAAAAATGGAAGAGACACCCTCTCAGTAATTGTATAATACCTACTGTGACATAGCCTCCTTTGTCTTTGTGGGAACATTTAGCTTACATTCTTCTTCTTTTTCCTTAAAGATATAGTCTACGCTAATTTCAAAAGGGCCCAGGTAGACAAAACAGAGCTAGCAGGGAAGTGACTCTTATGAGACCTTAAATCCCATGCTGCTTTGATTTTCGGAGCACATTTGATTTAGTACCCAAGGAAATTGCACTAAGTTCCAAACTGTCCTTCAGTTTCTCCTCTATATCTTTCTTTTTTTTTTTTTTTTTTTTTGGCTGAGACAGGTGGCCAGTTCCAGAGAGAGGAAGAGTAGAAACTGTAAATGAGCGCTGAAATATTGTTTGTATCCTAATTTCACATCACTTTTCATAATCATAATCAAGTGTTTGGACTATTTCTTTTTCAACATGTTCCCTTTAGAATCCCTGTCTGCTTGGAACCCCACCACTGCACAGGATGGTAAGCCAGATTCATCCATTTCAATGATTACTGAGTAAGTGTATTATATTCTTAAAGGAATATCTCCTCCTTTTCCTTTAATAATTGAAACTTGGAAATAGTGGATTATTTTGTAAAGTGATAATGATCCACATCTTGCCATTGCAATATTTCTTCCTTTAAAAAAAAATCACATAAGTTAGACCTACTATCTTTCCAGGGATACCAGTATATGATTTTCTTTGGAAAAACAAGTACTTATGCCACATGTTTGTTCAGCATTGAACCAAGTGTTTCTTACAAGCTATTACTAGTACAGGTACTGACATCTTTTATGTACATTTTGCTTCTGTCTTCTTCCTAAATCTTTTCCAACAGGTCTCTAGTAACTCCCACATTTCTTACTGAATATTTTCAAATTAATAATTGCTTATTTGGAAAACTTATTTGTAAATTAATTTGAGGTCTCTGAAGCACAAATATATAGATAGATGTAACATAGATATAAACATAAACCAATCTCCATAACCAAAGAAGTAATGTTTTAGTTTGTCGTTGAAGTTAGTTGAAATGAATTTATTTCACTCCATTTCTTTCTTTCTGGCTAGAAAGATAACTCCTATTGACTTTATTGTTTTTCTTAATTAAAAATTATTTATCATAAACTACTTTTCAATGTACTTTTTTAACGCCTAATTTTTCTTTGGAAGTAATTATTCTCTTTTCTAATTAACTCAAGTATTATCACATAGTTAAATGAAAAAAGAATCGTAAGTTAAAATTCATCCTAATATATGTAATTTTGAGACATCAAGGAAACGGTGCCTTAGATATAGAAATAAATATAATTTGCAAAGTATAAAGCAGTCATTACTCTAAAAAATAGTTTCTTCTACTTAGAAATAAATCCACACCTCTTCCTAATCCACTGAACATGGCACTTTATGTCCTAGAAGAACACTCAGCTCATCACAAGGTGGAACTCCACACAAATTTTTAAATGCATATTTAAACAATGTTAGACAGGTTTTTGTTGAAACAGGACTTCTCAGAGTCTTTAATATGTCATGTCTCGTGTTATTCTCCAAGAGCGGGATATAGTATGCAGTCATTCCAAAACATTGTTGATGCAGAAACTTCTTTTCCCTGGAGTACTTTATAGGATGATTGTAAAACATCGTTGGGGAAATGTTGGCTCAGAAGACAGGGAGAATTAGAGGCGTCAAAACCTGAGCAGAGGGGTAGAGGTAAGAATGTCTCCACTTTGAAATGGAAGATGCCTGGGGAGATGTAGGGAGAGGGAAAGGTGGAGGGGCTTGAATGTCAACCTGAGGAAGGTCAAAAGGGTGACTATTCTCTTGGTAGTTGCTTAGCTGTTTTATCTCCATATTTCCTGGACACTCTGTGCACTTTCTCTGTTTCTTTGGTCATGCTATTCCTTCAGCCTGAAAATCCCTTTCCATCCTCTCCCTCCTGCAAAAACACTTCTTAATCTCTTAAGGCCCAGCTTAAAGCTACTTCTTTAATATGTCTCCCTGATTTTCCAGCGAGATGCTAATCCTCAAACACATCCTTTATCGTTTAAACCTTTATGAATTCCAAGCCATAATTGTCAGTAAATTCAGTTTTTCTACAAGATTTTCTAAGACTTTTGTTCTGTATTCCTGAAGCATTGAACCCAGAACCCAGAACACTAAGTCTTCAAAGATATTAGTGAAATGGATCAGTGAATGAGTCAGTATAAGGATGAATGCCCATTGTCCTCACATAATTGTATACCCTACATTTTCAAAAATAAACTTTTTATTATTTTAGAATAGTTTTAAATTTACAGGAAAGTTACAAAGGTAGTACAGAGAGTTCTTATACCCTGCCACCCCATTTCTCTTATTATTAACATTTTAGATTAGTATCATACATTTCTAATGATCAATGAACCAACATTGATATATTATTATTAATATATCAAGATAAAGTCCATACATTATTCAGATTTCCTCGGGTTTCCCTACTGTCCTTCCTCTGTTCCAGCTTCCCATTTAGGATGCTACATTTAGTGGTTATGTCACTTTAGGCTCCTCTAGACCCTGACAGTTTCTTTTACTCCCCTTATCTTTGATGACCGTGATGGTTTTGAGGAGCCCTGGTCAGATATTCTGTAGGATAGTCCTCAGTGAGGTTTTGGTTGATGTTTTTCTCCTGATTATACTGGGGTTATAGGATTTTGGGGAAAAAAGACCATAGAAATAACATGCCATTCTCATCACATCATGACAAGGGCAGTCTGCTATCAACATGACTTGTCAGTGTTGAAGCTGACTTGAATCTAGCTGAGTTAGTGTCTGTCCTTTAAAAATTTTCCACAGTTAACAACATCGCTTCTTGCCAGAGTTACAGATTCTTAAAGGTGGGATCCTATTACCTGTTTTTATGTAAGCCAGCACTGATTTGGTACACTGTGGGCATGGGGTTCATGGTTCGTAAGTGAAAAAAAAAAGAATACGTGAATGTTTTTATTGATGTATATTCCACTTATCTCCTAAAACTAGCAAATTTGCTATTGAAATTAAGTTTTGTTACAGAAAAAGAAGGAACTAAAGACTGCTTTCAGAAGAGAATCTCCCCCTATGAAAAAGTAATATTCAGTGTGTTTGAACAGAATAGCATAGCACAGAGGCTATCCATAGCAACCATTTACACAGTTTAAGTAGTAGTAGCAGTAGCAGTAGCAGTAGCAAGAAGAGCAGACAAATAATCATTTATCATTTGGGGAAATACAATGCCTTCTGCTTCCTACGCTGGGGGAGGAAATAATTACACAGGATCAGAGTAATCTGTCTGGCAATCACAACAGCCCAGTCAGGATGGTGTCTATGTTTGCAGATGCCCCCCAACCCCCAAGAGATCTCTCCGGATTCTGAATCAGACAAGGTGTCTGTGTTACTCCACACGCAATCTATAGATAAATATTTCAAATCTCTCTCCTCAGACATTAAGCACAATACCTTTAACTGCTACCCAAAAGGCTCCCTTGGGAAATTAAGCAAAGCAAAAGAAAGCAAGAACCTCATGAAGGCAATTCACAGGTGAAATTTTTGACAGGTTTTGAGAGAGTGAAAAACTTTGTAAGACAAGAGGAAAGGGGATTGAAGAACAAAGATGTTTTCAGGTGACATTCTAGAACAAAAGAAGAGTCAGTGAATTAAAAGAAATGAGGGAGGAAAGTATTTCTAGAAAGTGGGATATGCTGAGCTCTGAAGTAATTAGCAAATAAAAACTTAACATTTATTAGGTAATGCATGCTTTTGAAGAAGTGACAAGGAAGTGCACATCTTAACATGACTGGAAAAACACTGATCTACCCCATTAAATTTGAAGAGTAATTTGTTTTCTCCTCATGAATAGTCCTATTTGATTTTTTAAAACTCATTTCATTTGGAAATCGTAAAGATTTCTTTATTCTTCAGTCCAATTGCTTACATTTGTTCAGAGAACAAATTCACGGTGGCTGAACTGTCCTTGAAAATCCAACCACTCAATAACTTTGATGGCTTTCTTGAACCATGGGTAAAATAAAGCATAAATCAAAGGGTTCATGGCTGAATTATGATAAGCACACCAACAGCAAATCTCATAAATATAGGCAGGGGTTATGAAGCCTATATAAGCATTAATTAATGAGTCAATACTATATGGTAACCGGGAAATCATAAATACTACCACTGTGATGCCCAGGGTTTTAGTGGCTTTTCTCTCTCTCGGCCACTCTGGATTTGTAACTGTCTGATGACAATTCTGTTTTGCCTCCAGTATGTTCAATCTTTTTAGCTTGTCATCTTGCCACAAGAAAAATATTGCTATAGAGAATTACCATAATAAGGATGGGTATAAAGAAGGATAGACAATCTATCAACACCCAGTTTTGATTTAAAACTGTCTGACAACCACCTACACAGTTGAGGGCACTAGATAAATTCCTCCAGCCCATCATCATAGACACCTGTGTAGAACACGGCACCACTGTGTACAAGGGGCAGGATCCAGGAGATGCTGACGCATATCCCTGACACAGACACCGTGAACTTGCTAGGAGAGACCAGAGGGTCAGTAACAGCAAGGTACCTGTCGATGGAGATGAAGAACAAGTGGAAGAGAGAAGAGTAACAAAATGCCACATCGCAGCACGTGTGGAAGGTACAGAAACTTGGCCCAAAGTACCAGCAGCTCTCCACGGACCTGACCATGCTGAAGAGCATGACGGTCACCCCACCCTTCAGGAAGTCAGCACCGGCCAGAGAGGCCAGAACATTGGTGGGAGAGGGCAGCTGTTGAAATGGAGGATGGAAATCACCACCAGGAGGTTTCCAAACACAGCACAGCCCCAGAGCCAAACAGCGTGTAGAGCATCAGCCGGGGGCCAGGCGAGCAGGGAGCTTTCAGGCAGGATCTGCTCACGTTCTGGTAGCAGAGCTGCTCGGCGGCAGGGGGGGATGAGTCGGTGCTCATAGTACTGCCTCCAACAGCAGGTAAACATAGAGAAGTTCTGCCCTTGGTCAGTCACACCAAATAGAGCAGTTTCATATTTCCCAAAGGCAGAGAGAAGGTCGTTTACAACTGCCTACCTTTGTCAGAGTTATCAGATAATATCTCCGTGGCTTGTCACATATTCATATTAATTTTAATCTCTGAACATATGAAGTAATATATTCAATTTAAATGCTCAATAAATCCTAGCAATTATTAATCATTATCATTTTTATTTTTACTCTTTAGCATCTAATTGAACCAATTTTTCTAAATCCAATAAGAATTTTACTTCAAGTAAGTCTGTAGCAAATTTGCTTTTACCATAGGAGATTTTTTTTTTTTCTCTTGCAACTTATCAAACGTCTTTTATTACCTGGTCTTGATACAGGGGATATTCCTTTTTGCCAGTTAGTAATAATTGTGTGGTTTGTTTTTTATGAGTTACCTTTTACTACCGCCCCCCACAAAACTCTGTGATGTTAATGATAAAAACTCCCAAGAAGCATAACCAAATCCCATCTCTCAAGTCATCCCAAATCAGGTGCAGTCCCTGTAGTGCGAAGTGTGAACAGAGAGAAGAAATTTGTATTTCATAATCTCCACTTAAAATTCATATTTTGATATAGAATAGGCCCGATGCTAAAACCTAACAGGGACCATGTGAAAGACACAAAGAAAAGGACACCTCACTCATATAAAAAAAAATGCAAAAATCCTAAACAAAAGTTCAACAAACCAAACCTAGAAATATATAAAAAGATAATACATCATGATTGGAGTCTATACAAAGAATGGAAATTTGCTTTAACATAAGAAAGTAAAATAACATAACTCACCATTTTAACGTATCTGAGGAATGCAAAAAAAATTATATAACGTTCAGCAATTATTTATTACTAAAAGATTCTTAGCAAAATAAAAATACAAGAAATGTTTTGTATATATAAAGGTCTCAACAGAAAAAGTCTTATTCATGTGTGCATTATTTATGTTTATTTATTAAGCATCTATTTGTATCAGGGTCTTGAAGATACAAAAATAAGCAAGAAATATCTCCTCCCCTTAAGGGAGTATCCCTGTTAATATGAGAGACAGACATAAAACAGTTAACAATTCACTGTGCTCCAAGTTAAAATTAACACGTGTAAAAAGTGTAAAGTGAAAAATGACATCAATATTAGTATATAACTGGGATGAATAAATAGAATTCATTGAGGGTATATGTTTAGAGCCAGGTTTAGAAGGATGAATGGAAGGTGTTAAGGTCAAGAACAGGGAAAAGTTTCAAAAATTGTGCACAGCTTTGTACATCCCAAAAATCATTTTAGATTTTATCCTATGACTCATGCATGGAGGTAGAGAAAACATACTTACTGACAGGTAAAGATCTCAACTACCACAGAAGGCAATTTTCTTGATTTTTCTGTAACTGACCTTTAATTCCCCTGTGAGCCCCATGTCATGGGGTGCAATAAACATAAGTTCAGTCAATGTGGGGTTCCCACTCTCCTCTCCCAGGGTTACATCTAAATTCCAAGGGGCTATGTAGTCTGCCTCGCTTCCACAGGAATAGATCGGGATTGTCTGTGCAGATATCTTCTAGAATGAAATGGCCATCTATCTCATCATGGAAAAAGGATGTTCACACAACTCTAAACTCTGGATGACGTGCTTACCAATCCCCCCTCTAGACCATGCCCCTTACAGTCTCTTATGGGTGCTCCAGCCCATTCCTGTGGGGCTGAGTAGGGGACATGCTGCTCTGCCTTCTTCAGATTTCACAGCCAGTGTACCCTCATCAGTCTCTCCTGTATCTCCAGGAAAACGTTGCACTTTTATTGAAATTAAGAGATTAACTGGGGATCTTAATTCTATGTTTCAAGCCCCTTCGTCTCTGGTGTCCTCAGCTAAGACAGAGATTTGAGTCCTGTCAGAGTCCTTTCTCATGTTCTCCCTAGTTTTCCTTCCCCCCTTCCATCCCTCCCCTCCCCTTAGCCTCTGCTAATTACCTTGTAGACACAGGGTAACACAGTTTCCAGGAAACTGGAAACGTTCTGAAGTTCTCCCTCAAACTCTGTCTCATCACAGATATTCAGAGGTTTCTGAACCCAACATAACTTCAGAGCATCTACCTTACACCTTTATGCCAATTTTCTTAGTTTGGGTCATAGCTCTTATCTTATGGCTTTTAGTAGTCTATGGCACAGAAATGCTTCTTAAAACATGGCAGAAATTCTAGAAAGACCCACAAGTGTCTTCAGTGAGTCTCGGGGCACAGATTCAGGTGTGCAAAACGTGTTACTTTATTGTTAAGGCAACTGCCATTTTAACGGCAACAAACAGCTTTGGAACACCTGCTCTATCTAGGTGTTTTATTTGTAGTAAGTTCTTAAATAGTCACACACAGAAAACCACCGTGGAGTCTGCATGATTATTATCGCTATTTTACTGAAACACTGGAAGTTAACCACTTGCCCAGGGTTAACATCTAATAAATGATGAACTGAGGATTGGCCTCCAAGCAATTTAGCTCCAGATTTTGTGTGTTGCTCCTCTATGCTCTGCAACTATAAATAAACTTGATGTCTGCGCCATACCCCTCACCTCCAGCTGGTAGAACTTCCTCTCCATCTATCTGGGTTTTCTCTACCTCCTCCACTGAGTTAACCAGGCTCTGTGGATTAGAGATCTGGTCTGGGTGACCATCCACCCTCAATGAGAAGTCTTGTCCAGTCTCTGGACTTTGGTCCCGTCCTGTGACAGAGCAGCCATCCCTCGTACCTGACAGTAAGGCTCCTTTAGCTCTTGTTTTATCAGCCATTTCCAGTGTGCTTCTCAGAAGAATTCAGCTATACTTGTGGCACCAGAGGCCGTGGAACATTTAGGAGTTTCTAGGACCTGTCATGACTCCATGGCACCCTCAGGGGCTCAGGAACTTTTCCTGTCCCTGTACTGTGCAGAGCAGTGAGGTGTTCTGTGAGGCTGTCTCAGGCTATGGGCTCAGCCAAGCTATGCAGCCATCTCTGCCCTGTGGTCTTCATACCCACTGAGTTCTGTCCAGGGAAAGGAGAATGAACTTCCTTGCATTTGGATCTTCTCCCCTCAAACATACTTGATATATTCATTTCTGTCTCTGCTGTAACAAATCAGCACTCACTTGGTGGCTCAAAATGAGAAATTGATTCCTGCAGAGTTCTGGGGGCCAAAAGTATGAAATCCAAAATCAAAGTATTAGCAGGGCTGTTCTTCCTCTGAAGGGTCTCAGAGAATCCATCCTAGCCTCTCCCTGCTTCTGCTGGCTACCAGCATGCATCCCAAGTTTGCATTATGATCAACAGTGACAGTGTTAGATGATGTTTATAATATGCCGTGACAGGCAATTAATTATTCCCACATCATGTTGAAGAAGTGAAGGGACATACCACATGAAAGTAGTTACGTTGAAGAGGTAATTATTGTGGTAAATGTTATCACTTTGTCATGATCAATTCCACTATGAGGGAATGTCCTCTAAACATCAAAACTTGGTCTTGCACCAGATCTGAATTTTACATCTGATTCCCTTGCTGTTGGAAGAGCACTGGTGAACAGGAGGAACTGAACTCCTAGAAAGAGCATGAAGCAGAGGGTCTGAGGAGATTGAAGAAAAGAACTCCAGCAAAAGAAGATGTTGGAATGGCAGTCAAGAGAACTAGAGTCTAGGGGAAGACCAAGAACACATGGCATAGAGAATAGGAAGAAGAAAATGAGCATTGAAAGTAACAGGGCAGGGGCACCTGGGTGGCTTAGTACCTTAAGCAACCGACTCCTGATATCAGCTCAGGTCATGATCTCAGGGTCCTGGGATTGAGCCCCACCATCAGGCTTACCACTTAGCATGGCAGGGAGGGGAGTCTGCTTCTCTCCCTCTTCCTCTGCCCCTCCCCCTGCTCATACATTCCCTTTCTCTCTCTGTCTCAAATAAATAAATAATACCTCTTAAAAAAAAAAAAAAAGAACAGGGCGGTGAGCATGAAAGGTGAAAATACCAAGAAAATCCCCCCAGAAGACGGGGCAGTGGAAAAGTGACAAAACAGAGGAGTAGGCAGAATCAACAGTAGGAAATTGGACCTTACTTCACCAGGGCAATAAATCTGGCTGTAGCAAATGTTTGCAGAAGCTCACTTGAAGCAATGTTTGACTGAATCTGAGGAACTCCTTATTTCAAATTTGATATCATATTCATACACCATATTCCATGTCATTATACATGGAAAATTCCCAACATCTCACAATTTCCTTGATTTTAATTTAGTCTTATCCTGAAAACACATTTATGTTGATGAACTGTCCTTTCGTTCTTGACCAGTTATGTTGTTTTAATTCACTCCTAAACCCAGGATAAAATAAAGCAAGGAATTTACATCTGAATTTTTAAATCTGTATCTCGGGTAATCATTCTTAGGAAAGACTATCATGAAGTATATGGAAGAATCTAATTTCTTTCTTCTCTCCTCTGTGAAGTTTCACATACCCGCTATCTGTCAAAAGAAATTCCATATTTAGAATTGTATTGGAAATTTTGGTAGCATTTATAACAATATATTTTGCTTGCCCATTGGATAAATTTCAAAAATTTTTAATTTACTTTTGAACTTCTGTCCTATTCATTATCTATAATTTGACAACAATGCCATTCTATGAGACATTTATTAAATACGACAATTATACTTTTTCACGTGCTTTTTTCTGTTTGTCCTTTATACTCTAAAAATAGGGAGCATGATATCCTTTTTTAAATCTGATATAGTTAATCTGATCTATTCAGTATAGTCATCAATCGCATGAATTGGTTGTTATCCATGCTATAGTCTACTCATTTTCTTAGAGTTTGCCAAGTCAATCCTCCATTTATGGAAGTTAACCCTCCTGTCAAAAGAAGTCCACACCCCTGTCTGCCCATACAAGTCTAATGCTTGAAGACTCCTCAAAAGGCCCTT